AGATATTTAGGCAAAGTAGAGCTTAGAGTATATATACAACATGACAGTTCATAGCCTTTGTGACAGCTATTGTGCGAGTCGGTGTGTGACAGAGATGAACGATTTCACCCACCCGAGCTTTGAATGTATGTGAGTATTTTTAACTAGTCTTATCTGCAAGGACATAATATTATATCACCTACAGTTTAAGGGTTAATAATTTCATGAGCAGATTAATGCTGTTACTTTAGATCTTTCAAGTGGCAGTATTGTTAATTTTTTTCTGTATGATTATGTGAGTCTGTTCTGGTCAGTTACCATCTCTCTTATGTGCCTTTGTAATGAGATAAAGGTATTATGTGATGATCGTAATAAGGCAAATGTGGATAAGTTTGTTGAGATTTATCAGGTATTGACTTTTTTCTCTCTTTGAAGGTCTTGGCAGAGAGCAATCCTGAGAAATACGGCTGGTGTTTGCGGTACAGTAATGAGATATTCGTGATGTTCAATCTAGTCATCCAGCACCACTATCTTTCGAACTATGGTGAGTGTGACATAATTTGTAATTTGTTTTTTCCATCAATATATCAGTTATATATTCGTAGTTTGAGGTTGTGCTTGCTTAGCAGTTGTTTATTACTCCAATTGTATTGATTTATTTTATTTTTTTCTTATTATACAGGTGCATCGTTTGCTGAGAATTTCTACGACCTTAAGCGAGTACAGCTAAAATCAGCAAAGAGGATGGAGGCTCTATCCTTGTCAAGAAAGGTTTATCTAAAATCGTTATCGGCCCTTGTTGCATTTCCTTACATTCGGGAAAGAATTGACACTGTTTTTCAGGACGTGAGAGAAAAGGATGCAGATGGTTTACTTAATGAGAAGGTAATTTTAATTCACAAATTTCTGCATCACATTACGACAAAAGATGTTTTGACGTGACAGAACTTAAGCTTATCTCTCATTTAATGATAGATATTCAGGGAAGTCTACAAACTTATGATCTTTTGGCCTTTGTCAAAGTGCCAGAATTCCTAGGACTACAATGATCACTTAAATTGCTGTAATTGTGTCTTTGTTGAGTATGTTCTTGAATATCTGTAGAGGAATTTTGGATTTTGATAGTATTTTATGCATTTTTCGTGGCCATCACCCAAGTTTGTCTCCATTCCCACTCAGTCCTTGTTTCAAGATTTACATTCCTAGTTATTTTATTTATATTTCTCGACTTTTTACACCAATAGATATCATGGAGAAAAATTGACACTTGAAATTTATTCCTTATTTATATTTCTCAACTTTTTACATTAATAGATATCATGGAGAAAAATTGATACTTGAAATTAATTCTTTATTTATATTTCTTGACTTTTTACACTAATAGATATCATGGAGAAAAATTGCCACTGTTGAAATTAATCCTTTTTTGATAATGACAATAATGGATTTAGATTATTTACATCTGTTGGTTTCTCCGCCTCTTATCTGTGTGTAGGATCCCGTTTGAAAATTAAAAGAATCAATTTGATTTCAGAATTGGAGCAACAGGATGAAAAAAGTGTTCCTGACCCTTTGGCCTTTCGTCCATTTTTCGTGGGAATTCGTAACGCTCATTTACTATGTTCGGTGAGTGAGAGTGACCCCAAGACAGTTTTTTTTTCATGTACTGAAAATATCAAAGGCAAAGTAGAGCTTAGAGTATATATACAACATGACAGTTCATAGCCTTTGTGACAGCTATTGTGCGAGTCGGTGTGTGACTGGTTGCTTTATATTTTGTCGTAGTTGCCTTAGAACTAGGTTATAGGAAGGTTATGTTGATTTGGATAAAGTATATAGATAAGACAAGAAAGATGGTATTTTATAAGCCATTGGATAGGTTCTCTTAAAAAAAAATTGTTGTTTTACTATTTTTGTCAATGGTCATGACATAATTGCCATTATCAGTCTTTTGTCTTTTGCTTTTTAATAACATTTTTTGTAGTTTTTTTTATTCAATGATATTTGTTTTGTTACAGCTATGTTATAGGTAGAAGCAAGTTCCATACCCCACTCTTGCTAATGTGTGGAGTGCGCCTTGCTAATCTGGAAGAGGAAGATTACGAAATCATTGAGGAGAGAGCTGACAAACTCCTGGCCTTCAGAAACATCAGGTAAACTGTACTAATATTAAGTTTCTTTTTTGTTTTGTACTTTGATATCGCTCTTCTTCTATTTTCTCTCTGCCTGCCTGTATGTCCATCTGTTTGTTTTTGTCTATTTACCTCTTTGTCTGTCTGTCTATCTGTCTTCCCCCCCTCTCCCTCTCTCTGTCTCTGTGTGTGTCTCTGTCTCTGTCTGTCTCTGTCTCTGTCTGTCTGTCTCTGTCTGTCTGTCTCTGTCTGTCTGTCTGTCTGTCTGTCTGTCTGTCTGTCTGTCTGTCTGTCTGTCTCTCTGTCTCTCTCTCTCTCTCTCTCTCTCTCTCTATATATATATATATATATTATATATTTATGTATCTCTCTCTCTCTCTCTCTCTCTCTCTCTCTCTCTCTCTCTCTCTCTCTCTCTCTCTCTCTCTCTCTCTCTCTCTATATATATATATATATATATATATGTATATTTATGTACCTCTCTCTCTATATATATATGTATATATATATATATATATATATATATATATATATATATATATATATATATATATATATATTTATGAATCTCTCTCTCTCTCTCTCTCTCTCTCTCTCTCTCTCTCTCTCTCTCTCTCTCTCTCTCTCTCTCTCTCTCTATATATATATATATATTTATGTATCTCTCTCTCTCTCTCACTATATATATATATTCATGTATCTCTCTCTCTCTCTCTCTCTAAATATATATATATATATATATATATATATATATATATATATATATATAAATATATATATAAATATACATATATATATATATCTTTTGGTAAAAATAACAAGTACAATGAACTCTCATTATCTGTTTATTTTTAGGAGCCTGAACCAGCTAGGACAGTGGTTGATCGAGCGTGTAGGTTCGTCCTTGATGAATTCATTGGAGGTTGGTGCCTTCTTTCTTCAGTTCCTCGACTGGTTTTACTCCAGCGGAAACACACCACGATCTCTCACTAGCCAGCCCATTCCACCCGCACCTCAGGTTTGTTTCTATATGTGTCATCAAGTATATTTATATTTCTTCTCTCCTCTTCTTTTTTTGTTTTTTTTTTTTTTTTTTTTTTTTTTTTTTCTTTTTTTTTCTTTTTTTTTTTTTAATGTGGGGAAGAAAATCACTCTATTTGAAGTACAATTGTACAGTGTAATACTGTTAGTTAGTAGTCAGCCACAGAAGATGGTTAAGATTTTGCAATCAGAGGTAGAAATAATATTGTTTTTTTTGAAGCCATAATGTTAGCCCATTTGCCCCACGTGGCAAGAATAGATGCCATAGCCACTTTGATACACGTTTATTTATTGTATTTACACATAGATGGCTGCATAAGTTCTTAATCACCAAATAGTCAGTTATCAAGAATTACCTATTTCACCTGTTTACCCTTTTCCTTCACTTTAGGAAAGTTTTTTTTTTGTATCATTTCATTGTCTAAAATATTCTAATGACAATTTAATAATCATAACATTAATAACAATAATAACAGTATCGATAGCAATGGTATTAATTTTCCCGCCAATTCAATCAATGGGAAAATCAGGGTCGGTAACTAGGGCCTACTGATAGACTGGTTGCCGGCTGAGCACATGTGGAGCCATCTGTATGTAACAAAATTCACCAAAAACTACAGGGGACAGAGCATAAATCCGGGGCAAATGGGTTAATAATAATAATGATAATAGTATCACCATTAATAGTATTAGAAAAATGTCCCCAAATACTCATGGAAAGGGGAAATTAGGTGAGGTTATGTCTGAGAACTTTTGGAGCTGTCTATGTGTAGAGACAATTGACAAAAAAAAAAATTTAGTGGGCATTCAGTGTTCCTGGCAGCATTACATTAATACCTTGATTTAAGATACTAAAAAGTACCTGTAAAATATTAAAAGTTTTAGTGCACATAAATCTTGAGCTGTTACTAGATGTCTATATTTAGGCTTAGTTTAATGTTTTGAGTTAATGGACTACCCCATTTATCTCGCCTGTATTTTATTTTATTATTCAATTTGTCATTTTATTAAAACCTTCAGTATCATTGTGAATCATATATAAGGTTCTAATCACATTTCATGCCAAGTTCTTTATTGCAAGTCATGAATATTCATGTCACTATCTGACCAGACTTTTTGGCATATTGTTTGATTTTTAAAACAAACTGATTCAGATTTCAGTTGCAAAGAAAACTAGCAGTGCAAGTGAGTGCCCTGTATGCTTCCAGACAAGGAAACAAGATACGGCTCTTTCAGTATCTGGGTAGGTCTTTTGCCAGTTACATATACATTTTGATAATCAACAGTGATCAAATTTTTGTCTGTTTAATTTAGGATAATAATGCTAACATGAACACATAAGGTACCAACAAACATTAGCTAAAGCAATCTCTCCATAAGTAAAGACACAGGCACATATATGCACACCAACATTAATATTGAATATCATAATAATATTTCTTTTCTTAACAGGTACGTATTTTGCTATGCCTGCATCCTCCCCTTTGTGCGTAGGGAAGGGAAATGCCCAGTGACTGGCTATCCAGCTTCAACAGCCCAGCTCATCAGAATATATCAGGAGTTATAAAAGTTCTTTATTGTAAATTAATTTTGTGAATACTACTATATATGTGTATATAGAATGTTATTTTATTGTTTAAAATAGGTCATGCTATAGGATATGGACATGATCATTACTTTGTTATGCTTATATAATGTTTATGGTTTTGTATGTTTTATTATCAAATAATAATTCATTAAATGTTCTCTGTGATACGAATTGCCTGCTTTTTTTTCTAATCTACTTGTATTTGTTGATGTATATGGTGCTTATTCAAGAAATAAATATAATTTATTTTGTTAAATTTT